GTGTCTTGCCCAAGGACACAACGACCGAGACACACAGAGCTGGGGATCGAACCGGCAACCTTTTAAATCACCTCCCAAAACAAATTTTATTTGCAACCATAAAGTGCCTAAATGCACTATTGCACTGGTATAGTCATTCAAATTCACCATTCAGTGTTTTTTTTTTCCACTTTTAATTAAAAAAATCTGAATGAATTGAAATGTTTGGTTTTTAAAAAAAAAACAAAAACAAAACATTTTATGGTTATTTTTCCCAGTCTGGTCGTGTATAAACATGCATGTGTGCCAGGTAGAAGATTTTCTGGTTGGGAGGGGTAATGATGCATTTGCAGTGTGGGAGAAAGAAAACTTGCAGTGAATTTCATGCAGACAGCTTAATATTGCCATGGCAGTTACTCGATGTATACTCCATGGTTACATTTTAACCATCGTACATGGAAAAACTTGTGAGACATCAAGTACATTCGATATATCCCCCATCCTTAGAACAATGTGTTTTGGACAAACGAGAACAAAGTGGAGATGCTGGTCATGATGCACAGTGCCATGTTTGTCAAGACCAAACACAGGCAATGAGCACGGTGGTGGAGGGCTGATGATTTAGGGGTGTTTTGCAGATTCAGGTTCTAGGCAACTTGCGGTCATTGAATCAACCATTAACTCCTCTGTATACCAAAGTATTATAGAGAATCTTTCTGACAGCTAAAGCTTGGTCCACAGTGGGTCATGCAATAGGATAATGATCCTAAGCACAGCAGCAAATCTACAACAGAATGGTTGAAAAAGGTGTCATGGCCCAAAGTCCAAAACTTAACTTGATTGAAATGTTATAACAGGACCTTAAGAGAGCTATGCATAAACAAATGCCTACAAATCTCAATGAACCAAGCCTAAAATTTATCCACAGCAATATTAGACACTGAAAAAGTTATATGGAAACCGTTACTTTTAGTTGTTGCTAGTAGGAGGTTCTACAAGCTAGTGAATCCCGGGGTGTACTTAGAGTTTGTATTAAAATAATTGTAAATTTTGTGAGGACTAGATGGATTTTTACCATATTCTGACTAATAAAACCTCAGACTTGACAGAGGGTTTACTTTACCATGACTGTAGATCTTTAAACATCTTTAATTATTTCAAAATGTACCGTTTTACTCCAGCGTGGACATAACTGTGATGCTTTTTTGCGAAAACCATTTTTCTTCTGCATAATTTTGTGTGTGTTCTTTTTTAGCCTTTTGCCTGGTGTCAATTTCCACCTACTCACTGTTCTACTGGTCTCTCTCAGCGATGCACACACACACACACACACACACACACACACACACACACACACACCTATTTGCATAAACATAGAGAAATTAAGCTAACTGTTTTGCATTTTGATTAATTTGCCTCCATCAGGGGCGCACACACCTGGCGGGTATGTGCTTTTGTTTGCGACTCCGAACTTGGATTTTGCTACTAAAGGTTTTAAGGTTTACTTTGAGTAAGAAATCCAAATCCCAAATGATTTAAGCACACACATATGTTTTTATGTCCATACACTGCATATTATTGCATGCGGTTTTAACCTTACCATGCCAGGGTGAAGAGGGAAAGTGGAATTAATGATCCTTGTCTAACATCAAGTTAGTCGTGTGAAATTAATATACACTTGAGCTTCTCTCCTGGGGCCTCTCGAGAGAGTGCAGGTTAACACGCTTTTGCTCTGACCTCAGCTGCTCCAGTGCATCAGTGGCCCACAGAGAGAACTAACAATAATCAAAAATACAACCTAATTAGATATCAGGGATTTTATTCTGGTTTAAATACTCAGAAAATTGAGAAAGATTTTAGTTATTGTTTGTTATTATGATATTCCTTTATTTTCTTTATTGCCCCTCTCATTACAAACCGACAACACACAGCATGGAGCACCAGCTGAATTTCTGCACCAGCCAAACAAAAGAGCTGAGCCCCAGTTAGCTTCACTTTGTTTTTAGATTTTACTCTTTTAGATTATTTTTGCATTTCGGGCTAAATCAGGCTAAAGCTTTAATTTATTATCTGCCACATTTTCATTTTGGTGGCTGAATTATTGCAATTGAATAACTTCTATCAAGAGAATATTTCAAGAGCTGAACAGTTTTACTTGGCCAACCTGATCGGTGCAATCTTCATGCTCCAGCTGTCTCCTGGTGCTCGGTTCTCTTTTATTCCTTTTGTTATGGCATTTTTTTAAAATAATGCTTCGAATTTGCCAATTGAAATGCACGAAATAACAACACACTTCAGGACTTTGAAATGTCTTGCTCGTTGATGCTAGAGTTTTTCTTAGACTGGAAAATCACCCAGCTGTAATGCTAATGCAATTAATGCTCTATTCACTGAGAAGGACACAAACACTCACACACAGATGCACACACGTACACAGAAGAAATGGAAAAGTTTTTCTCCCTTTCATCATTTGCAACGTGCAAGATGGAGACACAAAATGAGGGGGTACGGGATGTGAGCGAATCCAAATGCCGACATGTCGTTCCGTTTTGTTCTTTCCTCCAAGAATTATTTTTTTTTCTTTGCCTTCTCTTTGTATGATGGACAGAGGGGGGGGGGATGAGAGGAGGAGACAGGCACACGAGCTGCCTCGTGCTTAGTCACACGGTAGCCCGCGCAGGCATAAGCCTGCGCCTCCTGGTACCACACACTCACACTCAGACTGGGTCAATATTTCTGTTCAGATAGTAAGGTCCATAGTTTGTTTGGACAAAGACAGTTTTTGTAGTTTTGCCTCTCTGCAACACTGCACTTGATTTAGATCTCGGTGGATATCAGCAAACACTGTAGCCACTTTCAGCTGTTGCTTGTTTGTGAGTCTCTGCCTTCAGTTTTGTATTCAAAAACTGAAAAGCTGTTCTGTTGGGTTCAGATCATGTGACTTGGTGTAATGTCAACCTGGTAGCCCATTTCGTTGCTTTGAGAAACTCTTGGATTGTTTTTGCTTTGGGTCATTATCCATTTGCACTGTTCAGTTTTCCAGTATTTGTCTGAATGTGAGCGGAGTACAGTCCTACACACTTCTTAATTCATTCTGATACTTCTATCAGCAACCAGAGAATCAATCAACAGTTCTTCTGGCATCATGAGCTTGCTCTCTCCTGCTCCATACTTTTCTCTCCCCATCAACCTGCTTCAAGTTAATCTTGGTTCTAATCATGGCCCCTGCACTTGCATCTATTTGGGCCTCATATTTAAAATTATAATGAAAAGCTATAAAATACAAATTCAACACTTTGGATCATCATTTGATCATTTTGTTTGCCATTAAATAACAAGGGAGCAGGTCTCATTCGGCCATTAAACTGCTTTTCTTAGGGCCTAACTTGTTGTACCAAACTGTAGGTTATTTCATTTCATATGAATTCTTAAATTCTGATTTGTGATAAGTTGGACTTGTAACCTTGATAAAGTATGTACACTACCAGTGGAAAGTTTGGACACACCTTCTCATTCAATGGTTTTTCTTTTTTTTTCTACTACTTTCTACATTGTAGATACAAACTGAAGACATCAAGTATATAATGCAAGTGAAACAATGGCTAAATAAATCTAAATATGTCTTATATTTTAGATTCCTCAAAGTAACCACCCTTTGCCTTGTTGACAGTGCTGAAAGCCCTTGGCCTTCTCTAAATGAGCTTCATGATGTCGTCACCTGAAATGGTTTTCACTTCACGTGTGTGCCTTGTCAGGGTTCATTTGTGGAACTTTTTGCCTTCGTAACGGGGCTGGGACCATCAGTTGTGT